TCAATTGTCATTTCTCTTTCATTTCTAATTTTATTTATTTGGGTTCTCTCTTTTCTTTCTTGATGAGTCTGATTAAAAGTTTATCAATTTTGTTTATCTTTTCAAAGAATCAGCTTTTGCATTTACTTATCATGTGTATTTTTTTAATACTATTTTATTTATTTCTACTTTCATTTTATCACTTATTTCTTCTACTCACTTTGGGCTTAGTTTCCTGTTTGTTTGGGGTTTTTTTCTAATTTTTTTAAGTGTAAGTTTAGATTGTTTGAGATTTTTCTTGTTTCTCTAGGTAGGCCTGTATTGTTATGAATTTCACTCTCAGGACTGTTTTCACTGTGTATCACAGATTTTGAGCTATTGAGTTTCATTTTCATTTGTCTCAAGGTATATTTTGATTTCTTCCTTGAACTCATTGTTAACACATTTGCTATTAAGCAGCCTGTTATTTAGCCTTCACATGTCTGTGTATTTTTCCACTTTCTTTTTGTAATCGATTTCTAGTTTCATACCATTGTGATCAGAGAAGATGATTGGTATGATTTCAATGTTCTTAAATTTGTGGAGACTTGTTTTGTGGCCTAACATGTGGGCTATCTTGAAAAACATTTCACGTGCATATGAGAAGAATGTATATTCTGCTGCTTTGGGGTGAAATGCTCTAAAAATATCAATTAAATCTATCTGGTCTAGTGTGTCCTTTAAGGCTGCTATTTCCTTGTTGATTTTCTATCTGGAAGATCTGACCATTGGTGATAATGGGGTATTAAAAATCCCTACTATGACTATATTACTGTTGATGTCTTCCTTTCTGTCCATCAATATTTGCTTTATATAGATAGGTGCTCCTATGTTGGGTATATAAATGTTTATTCGGATTATATCTTCATTATGTAGTGTCCTTCTTTATCTCTTATCATAGCCTTTGTTTTAAAGTCTATCTTGTCTGATATAAATATTGCTACCCAGATTTTTTTTCATTTCTATTTGCACAAAATATCTTTTTCCAACCCTCTACTTTCAGTTTGTGTGTGTCATTTGATCTGAAAAGAGTCTCTTGTGGACAGCATATGTATGAGTCTTGTTTTCTTATTCATTCAGCTATTCTATGTCTTTTGATTAGAGCATTTAATCCATTTACATTTAAAATGATTATTGATAGGTACATAGTTATTGCCATTTTATTATTTATATTTATGGTTTTTTTCCCCCCTCTTCTTTTTACAGAAGTCCCCTTGACATTTCTTGTAATACTGGCTTGCTGGTGATAAATTTCTTTAGCTTTTTCTTGTCTAGGAAGCTCTTTATCTCACCTTCCATTTTAATTGATAGCCTTACTAGGTAGAGTAGTCTTGGTTATAAGTCCTTTCTTTTCATCATTTTAAATATTTATTGCCAGTCCCTTCTGGCCTGCAAATTTCTGTTGAAAAATCAGCTGACCTTTTCACGGGAGTACCCTTGTAAGTAACTAGCTGCCTTTCTCTGGCTTCTGTTAGGATTCTCTTTGTCTTTAGCCTTTGCCATTTTAATTATGATGTATCTTGGTGTGGGTCTGTTTGGGTCACTCTTGTTTGGGACTCTGCACTTCCTGAACTTGCATGTCTATTTCCCTTGCCAGGTTAAAAAAAGTTTTCTATCATTATTTCTTTAAATATGTTCTCAATCCCTTGCTCTCTGTTTTCCTCTGCTACCCCTATGATGCAGATGTTAGTATGCTTGATATTATTCCAGAAGTCTCTTAAACTGTCCTCATTTTATTTATTTGTTTGTTTGTTTGTTTGTTTGTTTTGCTGTTCCAGTTGGGCGTTTTCTGTTACCATGTCTTCCAAATAGCTGATTCAATCCTCTGCTTCATCTAATCTATTGTTGATTCTTTCTGGTGTAGTCTTTATTTCAGTTATTGTATTTTTCACTTCTGTTGCTGTAGTCTTTTTTTTATAGTTTCTATGTCCTTTCTTATGCTTGCTATCTCTTTCTTAAAGTTCTCCCTAAGTTTCTTGAGCATCCTTGAGCAGTGCTTTAAACTCTGTAGCTGGTAGGTCACTTGCCTATATTTCATTTAGTTCTTTTCTGGAGTTTTCTCTCATTTTTTTCATTTGGGACATGTTTCTTTGTTTCCTCATTTTGGCTGCCTCTCTGTGTTCATTTCTATGTATTAGGTAGAGCTGCTACATCTCCTAGACTTGGCCAGGTGGCCTTATGTAGTAGATGTCCTCTGTCCCAGTGACACAGTCTCCCTAAGTTATCTGTGCCGGGTGCTCAAGGAGTGTTCCTTGTGTGGGCTGTGTGCGCCCTCCTGCTGTTGTTGAGCCTTGATTATTAGAATTGACTCTCAGGGTTATGGGCTGTGAGGCTTGGCCACACCTACAGCATATGAGCCTCTGTATGTGGGCTGACCTCATGAAGTAGGATTTGGCTCAGTAGACTCATGTGCCTGTTGAGACCACCCTTTGAGTGTACCACTTGTGGGGCTAATCAGGTAGTGCTCTGCTGTGGTATGAAGCTGACCCCTGGGTGTGTTGGGTCAGGGACCGTCTGGAAGGAGCTCTCATGCAAGCCAAGGTCAGTCGCTGTCTGTGACCAGATAAGGGATACCTAGTAGGAGCTACCTGCATTTAGTCACTGACTGAGTTGAACCAGGAGGTGCATGAGCAAGCCACTTTGTGAACCAAGGCTGGCTGTCACCAGTACCGGACCTGGGGCAGCTCAGCAAAAGATTCAGAGTATCCCTAAACCTGAGGTCACCTACTAGCTCCCCATAAGGCTCAGCAATTAAAAGAGACTAGGGCAGTAGGTGAGTTCAGTGAGGCATTATTCCAGTGAGTCACCAGGATGGAGTGGGTAGTGTTCACCAGGTTAATGCAGATTCAGGTTTGGTACCAGGGCTGAGACTGTGGCCACTCACCAAAGTCTCAGAGTACACCAAGGCCACCCACTGCATGCCTCTGGCCCACAGACTCTCAAGATTTTCCCAGGAAAGACTGCTGTTTGGGCCAGGGCTGGTTGCCCACTTCTGAAAGTATCTTTGAAGGTATGCAAGCTGAAGTTAGCTTTTTGCTTTGAAAGAGCTTTCAGCGGTGTTCAGAGCAGGTCTGGTTGCCTAGCTGTGGTAAGTGCCTCTAGCAGTGAGAGAGTTGGGTGGGGCGAGGTCCCAGGGAGGTACCAGAGTAGAGCAAGCAGAGCTCATCAGGCCAAAGCAGATGCAGATTTGGCCATGTGGGAGGAGAGTTCAACACAGGAATAAATGGCAGCTGTCCCTCCAACCCTCATCCTGAAGCCACACAACTCAGTCTTTTCCTGTATATCTCTGGTGTTTCCTTATTCTCCATCCCTCTGTCAGAGCCCACTGTGAGTGCTTGAAAGTGAGAGTTTGTGCTCAGGCTCTTTAAGAGGACAATGGGTTTCCAGCAACCTTTCATCTCACCCCAACGGATGGAATTTCCATGGATTTTCACAGCCAGATATTGTGGGGACTCCTCTTTCTGGTACTGGAACCCTGGGCTGGAGAGTTTGTTGTGGGTCTAGGGCCCTTTGCTCTTCACGGAGATATCCCTCCCAGTGCTCTACTTCCACACGCAAGTGTGGGACCAGCCCATTTTGCATCTCTGCCCCTCCTACCAGTCTGAATGTGTCTTCTTCTTTAAATCCTTAGTTATAAGGGTTCTGCTCAGCTAGTCTTCAGATGGTTCTCTAGGTTGATTAAGCTATAATTTAGTTGTAATTTTAATGTGGTCATGGGTGGAGGCAATCACAACATTTACTGACCCACGTATTTTGCCCAGAAATACTTCCTGAATAGACATTTCTCCAAGAAAGATACATAAATGGTCAACAAGAATATGTAAAATTACTTAACATCATTAGGCACCAGAGAATGGTAAGTAAAAACCACAGTGAGATATGATTTTGTCCTCAATAGCTTGGCTATAATCAAAGAGGAAAATAATAATATGTGTTGGCAGAGATATGAAAAAATTGAAACCATCATATAGTGGAAAAAAATGGAAAATGGTGCAGCCACTTTGGAAAACCTGCCAATTTCTCAGTGATTAAACAGAGTTATCATATGATGAAGTAGTTCTACTTCTAGGTATATACCCAAGAGAAAGGAAAGTATGTTCACTCACAATTTGCACATGAATGTTAAAAAAAACATTATTCATAATAGCCAAAAATTTAGGGAAAACTGTCTATCAAATGATGTATGAATAAACAAAATGTGGTATATTCGTATAATGCAATATTATATGGCAATAAAAAGGAATAAAGTTTGATATATGCTACGATATAAACGTCTCTTTAAAATATTATGCTATTTGAAAGAAACTAGTCATGAAAGACCACATATTCCATAATTCTATTTACAGGAAATGCTCTATTTCTATAGAGATACAAACTAGATTAATGATTGGATAGGGCTTGAGAAGTCAGAGGTTAGAGAGTTCCATATAAAGGGTAAATGTTTCTATTGGGGTATAAACATGCTCTTCATATGAGCATCACAGTGGCAGCACAATTCTGTGACAATACTATGAACCATTGATTTGTACATTTTAAACTCATCAATTGAATAGTGTGTGAATTATAGGTCAATAGTTTGTTGTTGTTTTTTTTTTAATAAAATATTTTAAGCCATTATCCAGGAAATTCCAAGTCAGTTGTATAAGAGCTTCATCTCTATTGCTTCAGGGAAAGATAACACAGGCACAGTCACCTCTCATTTCCTATAGTTCTGTCATGTGTCTATAATTACACAATACAGGGGTACTGCACATGAAAGGTCAACTCTTAGCTGAATGATAGCACTTACTGACTTTAAACATGTTTGTATAAAAAAAGAGGTCATCTATTTTGTTTTTTCTACTTGTCATAAAAAATACTCTGAGTACTCATATATTTACTTTGAAAGTCACATTTTAACTTTCTGATTGATTTCTCCTTGAATATAAGCATAAACTTTGAAAGAAATAGCAATTTGAAAAGAAGCTTTGCAATCCACCAGGATGTCTAAGAAATGGGTTTCAGTTCTTCTGCTGCTACAGCTGAGTTGTTATTTTAGCCCAAGGAGTTGTGGAAAGGTGCTGGTGTGGCCCACAGAATATAGCCATTGGATCAATATAAAGGTAATCCTGGATGAACTTGTCCAGAGAGGTCATGAAGTGGTTGTTCTGACATCTTCAGTTTCCATTCTTATTAATCCCAATGAATCATCTGCTATTAAATTTGAGATTTATCCTACATCTTTTGAAAAAGATCATTTTTTGCATCTTTTAAAGAATACGCTCAATAAATGGATATATGATATGCCAAAAGAGACATTTTGGACATATCTTTTACAAATGCAAGAATTACTTAATGAATATTATGAGTCTCTTAGAAAGCTCTGTGAAGATACCGTTTTGAACAAGAAACTTATGACAAAACTACAAGAATCAAGGTTTGATGTCGTTCTTGCTGATGCCATTGGACCTTGTGGTGAGCTACTGGCTGAGATGCTTAAAATACCTTTAGTATACAGTCTCCGCTTCTCTTTTGGCTTTGCATTTGAAAAGCATATTGGAGAACTTCCACTCCCTCCATCCTACGTACCCGTTACCATGTCACAATTAACAGATAAAATGACATTCATGGAGAGGGTAAAAAATATGTTATATGTGCTTTATTTTGACTTCTGGTTTCAAGCACTTGATGAGAAGAAGTGGAATCAGTTTTACAGCAAAGTACTAGGTAAGTCATGTTTTTAGGTATTAGCATGAAGTTGTTACTTTCCTAGTGCCTTGGAAGGCAAGTCTGTATAAATATTAAATCAGAGAAATTTATCTTTTATAAGTGAAATGAAGTAAAATTATAAAATGATTTCTCAGTCTCATAAATATTATGGAAATGCTCAAATTATAGGATCATTGAGGAATTGTTTCCTCTTGTGTAGTTTAGTTTTATTTAAAAACTAAACTATTTTGCCATAGTACCTGAGGGATTCCTTCACATTAGAGAGATATAGTGACTTAATTCCAGACTCAAAAACCTATAATTTAAGCTTTCTATTTCACATTCCTTCACTAAGTACAACTAATCTGTTTAAAGACCTAAGATTTTGTCAAAGAGTGGATATATAAGCAATTAAAGTATATTTTATAAAAACTGTTCCTTTATTAAAGACAAAATGACCAAAATTAAGAGTGAGCACATATATTACCATACTTTATGAAAATTTTCCTGCTGTTATTTGCAAACATTTTTATTAATGTACAAATATTATTAAGCTGCTAACATGAACCAAATGCAATAATAACATAAGGAATTGAGCCACAGTCTCAAAATCTAATAGTTTATTTTGAAAATCTAGGATCAAGAGAATAGCTTGCTAAATTATGGAATTTAGACTAAGTACTCTAGAGAAAACTATTTCCACGGTTATGGTAGCGTTAATTGATTGAGGAGTTGAAATCTTTATTTACATTTGCATCTGTTAGTTTTATAGCTTAGAGAGTAAACAAATGCATGTTTAATTCTAGAATGTATTAATTTTAATCACTTTTTATGATTACAAATGTACTGATGTGATTTTAGAAAGACTTACGTTTTGTCATATGTATGTTGTTTATATATATGAAATATATATATATATGTATATACCATGTACATTGAATACGTATATCGTATTATCAAATAGACACTTTAAACATCTTTGACTACATTATTGCATTATTCCTTTCAGAAAATTATCTGGTAAATACTTATTACAACATTCTCATTTTCTCTGCCTTTTATTTGTTTCCTTTCCCTTCAGGAAGACCCACTACATTGTATGAAACAATGAAGAAAGCTGAAATGTGGCTCATTCGAACTAATTGGGATATGGAATATCCACACCCACTCTTGCCACATTTTGAATATGTTGGAGGACTTCATTGCAAACCCGCTAAACCCCTGCCTAAGGTAAACCTATTCATGGCTGTTTTGCTTTGTTTACTTTGCATTTTCAATAGGAATAATTCTGTGTTATTCATTTAGAATGTCTGGTCACAATGATAGAGAGGTGAGAATCTGGGTAAAGGGCCTGCCAATTAGATAATCATATATTTCTATCTATTACAAGAACCCAAATTTCATTATCATTACAGAATAAAGTGTTATACTTGGGAGACTTTGGAAATAGCATCAGTTAAATTAAGGCCTTTATTATTCAATGCATAAGAATGTATTAGCAATTAATCCAAAGAATAATTTTTAAGTAACTAGCACATTTCAGGGTATCCAGAGAAGCAGAATAGACATAGTTTTGGCCCACACGCCAGATGTTCTACTTGGAAAGTTAGAATATAAGCAAGTAATAAAAACCATGTGAAAAAATATTACAGTAAAGGAAAAACATAATGCTACTATACTGCTAGAGAACATCCCATGGGAGTGGATCATAATACCTCAGGAGTGATGACTCAATCAGGCATAAGTAAGCATAAACATCTTTGTTTTTGTCCCTCTTCAACAACAAAAATTTGGCATCTATCCATGAACAAAAGTACCTCTGTGAAAGTTTGGGAATCCAGTATCATATGCCAAGGGACCCAGAAAAAGTCTTTCCCACCTGTGCACTAGGTAATAGGCAGAAAGACTCCAGTACTGGTTGTGATACCTACAGGAGATTATTAATTGGTTCTAGCCCCTCATGGCTTCAGTCTAGGAGCACCTACAGTACTATGACTTGGGCAGTCACCTATGGATCAGAGAGCCTTTGTGGAGGTCCAGGTTTCCAAAGAAGTGTGAATGCATTCGTGTGGGTAAGATGAAAGCTTGACTTTGCCAGCATCACGCTTCCTCTAAGGCAGCACCGTTTAGGGCTAAAAGACCTGATTTCTCCTGCAGGAGAAAGTGAGAGCCAGCGAGGAGTTGCCCAGCTTCCCCAGCTATACAGGATGCTTCTAAAGGGCTCATTCTCTCACACAGCATTCAATTACTAAATTAAGAGCTCAGTGACTGGTGGAAGGGGGCAGATTAAAAGAGTGGCATATAAGATTCCCAGGAGGGGCATTAAAGTGACATGGTTTTTCCCGACTGCATTCTGGACTCCATGAAGAAACCTGACAACAAACCATGAAGAAAACTTCTCCTGCAGATCTTCCCAACTGGCCTGTGGGCACCAACAGTGCACTGTGTTTCAAACCCACACTTCTTTCCCCCTGTTGCCAGCTCTCTGTACACGCCCCAAGGACAGCAGAAAGAGCAAGATTTGATAGAAGTCTAGGGAGCATGAGTAGAAAGCAGGCAAGTGTTTGCTGGCGGGGAACTTGAGCTGTAGCACCACCTTCAGGAAAACAAAAAGGAGGCTATCAGCATATAGCCTGGTGTTCTGTAGGATGTAGAAAAGACATACAGGCTAAAGAATTCTGTAAGAAGGAGCAAGAAGCATGGAACAGATATGTTCGTACAAGGTCTGAGAAAGCCTTATCTATAGCAGAACTGACAAAAGGCATTTCAACCCTGAAAGTAGTAGAGATTGAAGTAGGTGACTGCTCATTCAAATGCAAAAAAAGCAACACAAAATTCCAAAGAACATGAAAATGCAAGAAAATGTGAAATCAGCAAATGTTACAACAATCCTCTAGTAACCTAATACAGATGCATTTACCTGATTAAAAAAAAAGAGATGATTTACCTGATTTAAAAAAAAATCAAAATAGCTGTTTTAAGGAAATTCAGTGATCTACAAGAATCCTTGTGCGATGTTGGTAGGAGTGTAAATTTGGTGCAGCTATTATGGAAATCAGTATGAAGGTTCCTCAAGAAATTAAAAATAGAGCTACCATATGATCCAATAAACTCACTTTTGGGTGTCTATCCAAAGGTAAGAAAAACAGGATATCAAAAATATATACACAATACCATGTTTATTGCAGCATTATTCACAATTGCCAATAAATGGAAACAATTTGTCTGTCAACAGATGAATGGATAAAGAAGATGTGAAATACACCACACACACACATACACACACATACACACACATACACACACACGAGAATATTATTCAACAATGAGAAAGAAGAGAATTTTGCCATTTGGGACAACATAGATGGACCTTTACAGTATTATGCTAAGTGAGATAAGTCACACTGAAAGACAAATAATATATGATATCACTTATATGTGGAAACTAAAAAAGGCAAACTCATAGAAACAGAGGGTAGAATGGTGGTTACCATGGTCTTGTAAAAAGGGGTTGAGGAAATTAAGAAAATGTTAGTCAAAGAGTACAAACTTGCAATGTGAAATGATTAAGTTCTAGAGATAAAATGCACAGCCTAGTGATTATAGTCAACAATATTATATACTTGAAAGTTTCTAGAGACTAGATCTTAAATGTTCTCATAACACACACATATATATATATGAAAAAGATAATTATATGGCCTATGGGAGGTGTTTGCTAATGCTAATAATTTTGTTGCAATATATAAATAAATCAACTCAGTACAAACACCTTAAACTTAAAAAAATGTTATATGCCAATTATATCTCAATTTTGTTAAAGAAAAAAAGCATGAAATGGTTAGGATAAGAAAGTAAAAATTTTTTAGAGGGTTAAGTCATTATGTTCTAGCGAGAAAGAAAAAAAAGACAATTTAAAACAAAAGGACCAGTCGGGATGGGGGAGACGAATATGAGGTTTGGACTGATATTCATGAAACTTTTGGCTCTTAACATATTTATTTTGCGGGGGGCGGCGGGGGGGGGGACGTTGGGTGAGGGTTGGTGTAGAAAGTACATTGAGCAATCAGGAATTTTTCTAGTACAGAAAGTAATAAAATTTGAAACCTGACAAGGATCAGGGACCACAAGTCAAAATAATTCTGAAACAATTCCAGGTGAACATAACTTCACCAGGAACTTTATATAGTTTGGACTAAGCTGCTCAAGAGGGTGACCAGATCTTTGCTATAGAAAGCCCAGCTATAACTCACTGTGGAGCTGGTGCTCCCTGGGGGACTCGGTGAGGTGATGATGAGGGCCCCTCAGAGCCAGTTATACATAGCACATTCTACTAGGACATCCATTTTGTAATATAATTTTACAGCAAAAGGTGGCACATATAAACAAATCAGAAATATGGTCACTCTAACTATATAAGTACATTTCTGGATTATAAATAAGAATCTTGGGGCTAGTTCATAGAAATTCAAGACATTAATACCAGATTCATTAGTTACATTGATTCACCAGCCTATAAAAAGAGATTTAAGGAGAGGGATCTAAGATGTTGGCATGAGATCCTGAATTCACACCTTCCCATGAACACATTGACTATACACCTACATGTAGAGCAATTTCTCCTAGAGAACAACTAAGGGTTGATTGAACCCTTAGTTGATTGAACCCTATGCAGTTCCTCTCTATCTTATTTGTTGCTTCTGCACAACAAATAAGATAGAGAGGGACTGCATAGAAAAGGTTGGGGAACCACAAGAACTCTCCAGACTCTGTGAGAATTCTTTGAGACTGGAGGTGCCAATGAGCCCCATTTTGTATGTTCCCTCTGCACATAGACAACATGGGCGGGAATATGGTTCAAGTGCTCTAGTCAACCTCCAAGGCCACCACAGCATGCCCTAGGCCACCTGCCCCATACCTACTCCAGGCTCTAGCAGCCAAGCTGCCATTGCATCACTGTAGCCACGTGCCCCTGGCTGCTCCAAACCTCACCAGCCAAGGTGTCCCTGGAGCTGTGCACTCTGGGAAACCTGGCCCATGTCTGCCCCAACTCTGACTAGCCTACCTGCTAGGGCACCCCTAGTGCCTCGAGCAACCACTTTGGCTCTAACCAGCCTGCCAAAGCTACCCAGAACATGTAGCCTTCACAGAGGTTGTTCCTATTTAAGGCCACTCTACCAAGTTTAGGAGAGGTTACTGTTTCATCTAATTTATAGAAAGAAATTCAGAAAGTGAAACAAATGAAGAGACAAAGGAGTGTGTTCCAAATGAAAGTACAAATAAAACCCTGGGTGAGTGTAGGGGGGTAAATGCTAAAGAAACAAAGATAAGTAATTTGCCTGATAAAATATTCAGTATAATGGTCATAAGAATGTTCACTAAATGTGACAGAAGAATAGAGGAATACAGTGAAAACATTAACAAAGAGTTAGAAAATACAAAAGAAAAAAAGAAAAAAAGAACCAATCAGAACTGAAGAATACAATAACTGAGGTAAA